TCAGAATCCCATGGAGGATCAAGAAGCAACCACACGTCGTCAAGGGACCATTCGACACACAATGGGTACGACGAGAGACAGAACCACTCGACATTGAGGTGGAAGGGAAAACCACCCAAGTGGTGTTCGACATCGTGAACATGGGGCCGAAGAAAGACATGATTCTCGGACGCCCATGGCATGAGGATTACGACCCAGACATCAGTTGGAAGGGAGATGGCCATCTGCGACCGCGGGAACAACGGGAGCATCCGACCAACTTGATGGGAGAACGCGCAGAACAGGAGCCACGGGAGAGCAGCGGGTCAGAACGAACCCCCTCTACGGGCCCACCGCAGGAAGCAGCCAGTGCAGAACCACGCACTCTGGAGTCCGGAAGAAGCGGCACACGACGAAAGAAGCAGGCACGGGAGGAACGAACCATCGCCGTCGTCTCAGTCGACGAGCACGGAATGCTCAAACACGAACAATGGGTCAATCAGCTCGAAGCGGCAAGCATCGAGCTGGCAGCAGAAGAAGTCAGGGAACTCGAAGCAGCGAGCATCGAGCCTGGGAACAGCAAGTTCGCGTACTACGAGGGTACGGCGAAGAGCGCAAAGACGGGGCAGATCCCAGACGACTACAAGGGGCACCCGGCGTTCACGGCAAAACATCTTGCAGGGCTACCAGACCACGGACCTTGGGATCACGAAATCAAACTCAAGGAAGGAGCCCAGTTGAAGTTTTTCAAGGTGTATCACACCAACGAGAAGCAAGATGCAGAGTTGAGGAGCTATCTCGAAAAGAACCTCGAGATAGGACACATCAGACCATCGACATCTCCAGCGGGCTACCCAGTCCTCTTCGTTCCAAAGAAGGATGGGAAACTCAGGATGTGTGTGGACTACCGACAGTTGAACGACGAGACGGTGAAGAACCGCTACCCACTGCCACTGATCTCAAGGCTTCGAGACCAGCTGTCAGGGGCACAATACTTCACGCGTCTCGACCTTCCAACAGCGTACGCCCACATCCGCATCAAGGAAGGAGACGAATGGAAGACGGCTTTTCGGACACCCTACGGACACTACGAGTACCTCGTCATGCCGTTTGGGTTGACCAACGCACCAGCGACGTTTCAAGCCGCTATCGATCACGCAATTCGACATTGCCTCGATAAATTTGCAGTCTGTTACTTGGATGACATTCTCATCTACTCCAAGACACTCGAAGAACACAAGAAACACGTGCGGCAGGTGCTGGACGCACTGCACGAGCACAAATTGTCAGTCAACAAGGACAAGAGCGAGTTTCATGTCAAGAAGACAGTGTTTCTGGGTTACGAAATCTCCCCAGGATGGGTCAAAATCGAACCCGAGAAACTGGAAGCTGTCAAGACGTGGCCGACACCGACGAACGCCACAGAGGTCAGAGGATTTATCGGATTCGCCAACTTCGTCAGAATGTTCATCAAGAATTTTGGCGACTTCGCGAGACCTCTGCACGAACTTACCAAGAAGGATGCCACATTCCAGTGGAAGCGGGAGCACGAGCAGGCTTTCCAGCGGATCCGCGATGCGATCATCGCCGACCCGGTGCTCATGCTGCCCGATCCAAGTACGCCTTTCGAAGTCGAGGCTGATGCTTCGGACTTCGCGATCGGAGGACAACTTGGACAGAGGGACAAGGACGGCAAGCTTCATCCAGTTGCGTTCTTCTCCAAGAAACTCGAAGGACCAAGGCTCAATTACCCGATCCACGACAAGGAGCTTCTCGCAATCATTGAAGCATTCCAGGAATGGAGACCATACCTCAGCGGCACGACACACGAAGTTCAGGTGTACACGGACCACAAGAACTTACGATACTTCACCACCACGAAGGTGCTGAACGGACGACAAACTCGGTGGGCAGAATTTCTGTCCGAGTTCAACTTCACGATCCACTACAAGAAAGGCTCAGAAAACGCACGAGCGGATGCCTTGAGTAGGAGAGCGGATCACCACGACAACGCGTCTGAAGCCTCACCACCATTGCTACATCAACAGACAGACGGATCGCTACGGCACGCTTCCCAACCGACTGAAGACTACGAGATCGCAGCACTTCAGCAACAGTCGGAAGATCCCGAAGCCAGGCCTCTGCAACCGTTTGTAGAATGCTGTGCGGCCTTCAGAGAACAGAGACTGGAACGAGACTTCCAGGGAATCATCGCGGACGACAAGCGCGATGCATGGCAGGAAGAGCCAGAATCCAAGATCGCAGGGTTGCGACTTGAAGGGACGAGACTCTGGTACCACGACAAGGCCTACGTCAGGCTTGGTGACCAAAAGGAGCTCATTCGAAAGATCCACGAGTCAAGACTCGGAGGACACATGGGAATTGGCAAGACAATTGCGAAAGTCAAGCAGAACTACGACTTCCCAGGAATCAAGCAGACGGCAGAAGGGGTCCTGGCGGAATGCGACCTCTGCAAACGAAGCAAACCAGGACGACACAAGCCGTACGGGCTATTGCAGCCACTGCCAGTCGCAGAACGACCATGGAGTTCGGCGACGATGGACTTCATCACCAAACTGCCAGTCTCCAAGGACTCGGTAACGGGAGTGGAATACGACAGCATCCTCACAATGGTGGACAGACTCACCAAGTGGAGTTACTTCCTCCCTTACAAGGAGACATGGTCAGCAGAACAACTCGCAGACGTGATCTACCGCAACATCACCTCGGTCCACGGCTGGCCGGAGGAATGGATCACGGACAGAGACACCAAGTTCGCATCAAAGTTTTGGCAGGCTCTGATGACGAAGCTGGGTACGAAGAGTAAGCTTTCGACTGCTTACCACCCACAGACAGACGGACAGACGGAACGACTCAACCAGATCGTTGAACAATACCTACGGTTGTACGTCAACTTCCAGCAGGACGATTGGGTCGAGCTGTTGCCAACGGCACAACTCGCCTACAACACCACCGTCACGGAGACCACCAAGGTCACACCATTCTTCGCGAATTTCGGCTACGAAGCAGATTTGCGACAAGGGCCCGAAGTTTCGGTGCCCAGAGCGGCAGTCAAAGCCGACAAAATGAGCTCGCTGCACGCGATGCTCAAGGAAGAACTCGAATTCGTACGAACACGGATGAAGAAGTTCTACGACAGAAACAGGCTCGAGGGACCTCGCCTAGAGGAGGGGGGCAAAGTCTACCTCATTTCTCGAAATCTTCGCACGAAGCGACCAAGCAGGAAGCTCGACTTCCGCAAAGTCGGACCGTTCAAGATCGACAAAAAGATTTCGGAGAACAATTACGCTCTCGCGTTACCCTCGACAATGCGACTACGGACCAACGTTTTCCACATTTCGCTTCTGGAACCAGCACCTAAGGACGCACGACTCGACAAGGACGCCGAGGCAGAAGACGAAGAGGAGGAATGGGACGTTGAAGAAGTCCTAGATTCACGCATCACGGAAGGACAGTTGGAGTATTTGGTCAAGTGGCTGGACTTTGGTCCAGAGGACAATTCATGGCAACCAGCTACCAACCTCAACTGCCCCGAGAAACTCCAGGAGTTCCACCAGAGGAATCCGGACCGACCAAAGGAAGCCCCACAGACAAGTCGACCCCGGCGAGGAAGGGGTCGTCCGAAGAAAAACTAAGCACTGTCAGCAAAGAAGCAAGGAGGGGAGTAAAGAAAACGAACTTGTGGATCCAAGAGGGATCGGACGGAAGAGGATCAGCATTCGAGGAGTTGACAGGCGGAGCGTCGGCAGCGGACGAGGGGGCCGGAACGGAGGATGCCTCTTCCCTTTCCAGCTCCGAAATGTCCCGCAGCTCGCGGGACATCGCCTGCTTCACCCGCTCCTCGAGGGAACGAGACTGACTCTCAAGACGAAGCAATTTGGCCAGGGTCTCTTGTTTCTCCCGGTCCAGTTGTTCTTTCTCCGAAATAAAAGACCGGACTACGACGGTCAGCACCACGCGGCCGTAAAAGGGCAGGAGGAACGCACACGTCGCAGGATCGATACCCCAAACGTCGCACGACGAGCAGTTCGCCCGATTGCAAGGACCACAGCGTTTGGAGGAACCAGTCGCCGTGCAGTCAAGGCCTTTCTCAAGGCAACGAGAACACTTAGGCATAGGGATTCCGAGTACGGAGGAGTTGGTAGCAAGGCGGTGTCGACGCTGAGTACTGGTCGCGGTATCGCTTTTCCTTTTGTACACGCGCTTAGACATGACGACGAGTAACGAGCGAAGGGAGACGACTTACGGGAAGAGAGGATGTTGGCACTATTTCATGCAAGGCGGCTAAAAGCAAGGTCGTCGGGGCGCCGACCCAAGGAGGAGGGGCATCGTGTCACGGATTGAGACCAACTAAGGGCGCGGGCCGCCCCATGACCCATCCTTAAGGAACCAATGAGAGTAGGGCTCCCCGTGGCTCCGTGGGAGCCACAGAGAGCCAGGACGGGACGGACTAAAGGGGCCAATAGGAATGTGCTCCCTAGGGCCCACAAGGAGCCCGGCTCTGTGAGGCTCTGTGAGAGCCTCAGAGAGCCACTTACACTTAGATAGTATATAGTCACTCATTCTGGAGAGCTCTGGGAGTTCTCCAGTTAGCAATCACAACTACAGTTCGCTACAAGCTCGAGAGCCTACTGTTGAGACAAGTCGTTGTTGTGCACCCTTTGGCTGCACCGAACCTACGCACCCTTGAGAGAATACCTTCGACCGATACTGAACCCTAACAGGACGGGTCCAGAGACAGGTTCGTCACAAGCTAAGGCTGATATTAGTGTAAGATTTAGATAGCTAAATGCTATATCTCAGCTACTAGATCTATTAATATATAACTTATTAAGTTAAGGGCTTTTAGCTTTTAGGTTAAGTATATACTAAAGGTTTCATAGCGAGATATTTATAGTATAAGTTAGTAGTAACACCGTTTTCAGTTGTTAATAAAGGAGAATAGTCTATTATTAGAGTAGGTTATAACATTTTCAACTAAATAAACCTCTAAGATGTTCCTCTAGGCAAAGGTCCGCAGTGTAGAATGAACAATATAGTAGAAAATAGGTATATCGAAATGTAAAGTACTATCCGATAAGTGGTTGAAGATAAGAGGTTACCTAGCTTAGATAGGTAGTTTCTAGGCTAAAGTAATATAGTATGAAAGGAACTAAGTGAATATAATGGAAACTTCTACTACCGAGCATACTTCGAGCTACAGTTGTTCCATTTGTCCAGTTAGATAAGAGTAATAGGAATGTAAAACCCCGTTCAGTCATTACCGCTTCGAAATGCCAGGCAGCGCCCTATCAGGGTTTCTTCCAACCCTGCCACTAACCCCGACATACCCACCGCCGTATGTATACTCGAGACCAGGCTTGCCTTTCTCGAGTGTAGCAAGTTCGCGCATCAATGCTGCGGCCGCTACAATCTTGAAGCTCTCGATGTCCTGAGGAGAACTGCGGTGCCCGGGAAGCATCTGCCTGTGTTTCTTTTGGCAGCCAACGTTCAGGCAAGCGAGGCACAATTCGAGTGCGTCCAACTCGCTAGTGTAGCCGCTCATAGAAGTCGGGTTGCGCATTTCTCGCGTGATCCACGCTGCGATCCGCTCAAATCCATCCTTCAGCTTGACGGAACGGTCTCGTTGGCGGTGTGTCTGGATGCCATTTTTATTCAGAATAAAGCCAACAAAGACTTCCAGCTCCCTTAGAGGCTGGTGCGGCTGATCTGCGCAGTCAATCATGAGTCCGTGAACGGCATCTTGGTATCTATACAGGCGTTAATAGCGGGCTGTCACATAGAACAGAGGTTGTGACTTACGCGTGAAGAATTCCGTGTGCCTCGTCTGACCTATGTCTCCATTCCACAGGACCGATACCACCCACTCGTACCCTAAGGGCCGCGAGTAACTCGTCCCAGAAGGACGATCTTCCGGATTCGACGGTCATCCTGATATCCTCGGTCCAGATCTTTCGTTCATCGACAGCGCGGTAAAGTTGTCCCAATATTTTGTCAGACCCGTAATACCGATGGCGTGGGCCTGCATCGTCGTCATCCTCATCCTCGTTGGCCTGTGGCGCAACGTAGTCTTCCATAGCAATGGCTGACTTGTCATAAATTGTGATCAGGGGCCCCGGAGCAAGGAAGTCTGGTCTCCACTTTGGGCTCCGGGGAAGTTGGGACAGCTCGACAGCACGCCCGGACTTGGAGAAGTCGACGGCTGAAGAGTGCAGTTCGGCGAGTTTGATACAATCTTGGTCTAGCGTTCCATCCTCCCTTTGGTCTGCAAGAATCATGTGCCGGGTGGCGATGACCCCGAGGTGGTCAGTTCTCATGAAGTCGACAAAGAAAGCAGCCATGTCCGCCGATGTTACTGGTCTGGTCAGTTCGAGGGGCTCGACTCGCGGGTAAGAAGCGGGCGGAAAGGTTGTCACAACGTCGACCACGGCGGGATCCCAGATGATATGGAAGACATCACCATCCAAGTCGCCTCCACTGAGCTGATTGGAAGGACTCCTCTCGCCCCACATGCTGAAGACAAGGCAATTACGAAGCTGGACTAAAGGATGGTCATCTGGCGGGATCGTGTTGACGAATGTTTGGACATCTCCGGGGTGCAACGCCGGTGACCGCGTCACAAGCACAAGTCCGGGGCCGGGGGGCTGAGAATGGCGGTCATCCTCGGGGTCGAAGGTCACGTACACTTCCCCCTCCTTTAGGAGCCCTGTCTCATCCATGATGCCGAAAAGAGTCATGCCGTTCCGAACGGGGATACGAGCTTTGTGCTTGAGAAGGCGGAGTTCCCGAAGTAAAATGGCTTCGACGGCACCGCGAAGGAAGTTGTCTCTCCTGTAGTCGAGACCCATAGCCTCTGTTTGACGGAGGAATTTGTGTAGCTGGATGCTTTCGCCAATCCTCTGCGACCTGAGAAAGCTAGCCGTGTTGTACACGGTGGAAGAAATCCCACGCAGTCTTTGTAATTCATTGTTTTGTAGGTCAAGAAACCACTTGTTAGGCGCCCCCATGTCTTCGAGGATCTTGATAAGCTGGCGGTTCAAAACCATAGGCATCGGATTGGAAGCCATATCACAGATCTCGAGCTGCTTGTCGTTACTGTCAAACTTTTCCATGGAAGGACGAATGCATATGATGTTCCCGTCCAGGCGCGGGTCCACAGCCAACATTCCCTTTGCTCCACCCCATCGGATTTGGAAACAAGTTGGGAAGCCTTTGGATTTGGGTATGATGTCGTGAACCAGCTGAGCAACACCCTGTGAGAGCGTACCGACACCATCACTGAAAACTTCCTTGGTCCGCTTGACCTCTGAGATCCTCTCGACGTCTGGGATCCTCTCGACCTTGACCAAGTGCTCGTCGAGATCAACAGCCCAGGGGGTCTCGGAGAAGGCTTGGCCGATCCGAGCGGCGCGACGGGCCGGAGACTTGATTTTGTTGAAATCTCCGAGGCCCGTAACGATGAGGTCAGGGATTTGCACTTGCCCTTGGTGAACGAAGGACGCAGACAGCCATGCTGAGTGAGCACGAAGTGACGAGTGGGAAAAGCCCAAGAGCTTATAGACCCTACCAGCCACCTGGATACCATTGGATAAGACGGACTTGAACCGGTCGTAGATGGAATCGAGGGATACCTTGGCGTTGAAGAAGAGATCTTGGCCGTTCTCGTCGCAAAACTGCGTTCTGATGAAGTACGAGTGGTCTGGGTATTTTCGAAGGACACGGTTCATGGGCTCGGGCTCTGGGCCGTGCAGCGTGATGCGCGTGGGGGTCACGACGGCTCTGAATATGAGAGCCCTGTTTTGCATCTCCTCGCCGGCAGCCATTCTCAATCGCAGTGCAGAGCTCTCGCGAATGAGAATCTCGGCCTTTTCCAAATACTCCATGATGCCGTCAACTTCAAACATGGCTGATTCCCCATGAACCATGGGGTAGTCGATCCAGTCGAATAGCTTTTTGAAGGCGTCGACCGAGACTGGCGGCTTGGTATCCCCGACCCCCCTGGCTTCTCTGAAGCGCTGTGCTAGCCTTTGGGCTAGGGCAGAGATGGTAGTGGGGTGAAGATAGCCGTTTGCCATCAATGCTTGAAGAAGGAACAGAAGCCCAAAAGGCAACGAGCCGGTGCTAGTGTACTGAGCGAGCAGTCCTCGGAGGTTCGCCGCCGCGTCGCTGAACCGCACGGCAATTGCGTGCTTGAAGGAAAACTCGTCGCGGGTTACATGAAACAGCTGTTGGCGCGTGAGCCTGAACATCTCACTTTGGAAGTCGCTGTTGGTGTGTCTGGTGATGGCGTTGGGCACCTGGAAACGATAGACCAGGCAGAAAGGAGAGATGGGGAGATGATCCTTGTCGATGGCCTGGAGCCTTTGGCTCTGGTCGGCCTTCTTCTGAGAGCCCCCTGGGCTAAAGCTGAATAACGAGATTGCGGCGGCCAGATCGTCTTCTGGGCTTTGCGAAATCAGGATAGTGGGTGCCCAAGAGAGCGTCACAGCGACGCTACCATTGTGCCACCAGACGAGGTCGATGATGCTTTGGAACGGGATGCGAAGCTGGACTTTCCGCCTTGTCATGGTGATGGTGAGGGTCCGTTTGGCAAACTTGACGAGGCAACGCTCAGCGGCCGTCCATTCGGCGGTGAATGTCAACTTCCCATCGTTCAGCGTGTGGTAGCCACAGTTTAGCTCGGTGGCTTCGAGTGTTTTGGTTGGCGGTTCTGCAGTCGCTTCGCTGTGGCTGCGAAGGCTAGCCTCATGCTTGATGGTTTTCAGAGTGTATTCATGAGGCTTCCTATCACTGAGCCTGCAGAACACTCTCTTACCCATAAGCGAGAGACGTGATCGGGAGGGCGGGTGTCGGCTGTGGCGCTGGCGAGAGGAATGCACACGGGGTTGGGGTATCAGTTCCTCTCCATGACGCTGGAGAAATGCCTTGCCATCGGCTTCGCGGAGAAATGTGATGTTCCCCGTCGGCTTGTTCCTCTGCTTTTCGACTAGGTAGTCCGTGATATTGAGAGGGACCATGAATTGCTTGAGCTGTTCTTGGAGAGCACTACTCGCTAGATGAAGCGGTAGCTCTCGTAGGAACACCTCCATCGTGGTTGTCGATTGTTTAAGAACGACGTCGACGGTGGATGTTGCGTCGCGGGGACTTACGCCTGGTGATACAGAACGCACTGGTTGGCTTCGAGTGGATACCGGCGGTGACCCGGCGCGATGGAGTGTAGGTATGCGTACTCAGGATGGTTCGGAGGGCCGAGACGACAAGGTGAAACCCAGCCTGAGAGGGAGCGCTGCGGGGAAGAAGCCGGGCAGGTAACAGGGAAATACGGTGGGGGCTGGTACTAGCTAAGGTGGTGAGTGGTTTTGAGTGATTTTTTGCTGGGTAGTCTGAAGATGCGACCTTACGATTGTTTCTGTCTAGGTATTGACGATTAACAACAGGATTTCCCTGAACGGGATGTGGTGCTGGAGCGGGTTGCTATGAAAAGCCTAAAGGTAGGTGGGAATGAGGGATTGAGGAGAGTGTGGTCGACCATGAAATGTAGGCAACCGACGCCTTCAAGTGCGCCTACCCGTCAATACGAGACGAGTAATGCCGCCATCGATGCACCTCACTCTTCGACACCTTTAATGGCTGTCCCTGTTGGCAGTTCTGCACTGAGGCCCACAATGGCTTCCATTACAATCCGAGGCAGAAAGCCATGTGAATTCGAGTCCAATCGATGCTCTACCCCACCTTGGCTCCAGAACCTAGGTACCTTAGAAGAGAGAAGGATAAATCGATAAAGGAAGGTACTTTGCTGATACCGGGACCATGATGCGAGAAGTAGGAGGTCCTGTTCCTTAACAACCACTGACGACATCCTTAAATATATACTTCGGACTTCCCTCTGCATACCGGGACTCACACTCCATTTCTTCTTTGCTTCTCCCAAGTCTCCCTCCATTGTAGGGTTGGGGTTAATTGGATAAACTCGAACCAACGAACCAACAGAACAACAGCGATCATAGCTGTGGACAGGCGGGTTCGATTTAATCACGTCAAAACTCCACCATTTATTGTTGCAAAACAACGGCCCCAGAGAACTCTTGGAATTAATATAAGTCTTCAATTTTGAGGACCTGATCCACTCAAAGAATGTCTGGTGTTTTTGTTGACTGTGGCCAGCAGCATGCACGTGGGTTGAAAGCGGGGATCCCGCCCGAAGGCGCCCTAACCCTGACTGAGCATGCACGCCGCCTGCCGCCTTGGGACTCGATGACTTTCACGGGAGACAGATCTTGGCCCCGCGACAGACGATAACACCCCGCAGACGAACCCTCCAGCCATCCAAGTTGATTGACCCCACCATTCAGAACTCATTGATCCCCGCAATCCCACCTCCCACCCACGGGAACCAGGCGTTCAGAGGACCAACCCTCGCTGTGCCCCGCCTGCAACTCCGTTTTATGGGAATGATGGGGTCCTCCGAGGCGGGGACGGAGCGCTTTGGATGAATTGGAATTGCCGACTTGGAGTGCGACTTGGGGTCAGGGCCCGGGTCAATTGGCTTTTGGGTGAGCCTGCCCCGCTTCCGTCATAAGGTAATCCCAAGTTGACAATTCCCAATTCCCAATTCCCAGAATTTGAGTTCCCACAGCTCCATTCCTCCCTCCCTCCCTCCCTCTCTCTCTCCTTTCTTAAACTAGGAACTCTCCTAACACCTTTTCTCACTTTCCCTTATCCCTCTCATCCCCATCACCAACGATGCCGCCCTTCCGTGCCGAGCATATGGGCTCGCTCCTGCGGCCCCAAGCCTTGCTAGACGTTCGCGAGGCCATCCGGGAAAAGGGTCTGAGCCCCGAGGCCGCCGGCCTGCCCTCTGTCGAGGAAGAGGCGGTTGGGCACGTTGTGAAGCTTCAGCAAGAGTTGGGACTCAAGGCAGTGACCAGTGGCGAATACAACCGCACCCGCTTTTGGGGCCTGATGTGGGACGAGTTCGAGGGCACCGTCCGTCTCCAGGATGCCGACGCTGCGTTGTTCCGATTATACCACCCTGACGTCGTTAGCCTCGTCGAAGCCGCACGGAAGGTGATGCCGGGAGACTCTGTCATCGCCGGTTCCAAGCTGCGGCACAACCCGGAGAAGTCTCAGTCCAACCTCCACGAGCTTCGCCTTGTGCAGAAGTTTGTGCCCCAGAGCGAGTGGGGCAGTATCAAGCTCACTATGATCACACCGGCCTGGTTCCACATGCGCTATAAGCAAGGGCGGGCATACTCCAAGGAGGCGTACGCAAATGACGCCGAATATTTCAAGGACGTTGCCAAGGTTTACCAGGCCGAGCTAGACCAGCTCTACAAGGCCGGGCTCCGGAACGTCCAGTTTGATGACCCCGGTCTCGCCTGTAAGTGTGAACTTTCCTTGTTAACTGTCGCCCCTCGCCGTCAAGATTCAACGGGCTCACTGGATCTCTAGATTTCTGCTCCGACAAGTTCCGCCAGGGATGGGCCGAGGACTCGGACAACATTGGGTCCGTCGATGATCTTCTCGAGGCCTACATCGACCTTTACAACGACTGCATCAGCAAATTGCCTGCCGACTTTCATACGGGTGTGCACCTCTGCCGCGGGAACTTCATTGGAGGGAGATTCTTCTCGGAAGGGGGCTACGATGTGATCGCCCAGAAGCTCTTCACAAAGCTCAAGGTCAACACTTTCTACCTCGAGTATGACACCGAGCGGGCCGGTGGATTTGAGCCGCTCAAGTACCTTCCCAAGGATAGGAATGTTGTAATCGGTGCCATTTCCACAAAGCTGCGCGAACTCGAAGACAAGGAGGAGGTGAAGGGGAGGATTTACCAAGCAGCAGACTTCGTAGCCGAGGGGAACAACGAGACGCGCGACGAGGCACTGAAGCGCATCTGCGTCAGCCCGCAATGCGGTTTCAGCACCCATGAAAGCGGCTACCCGCTGACCGAGGAGGACGAGAAGACCAAGCTGGCTCTCATCCGTCAAATCGCTGACGAGATTTGGGGCGAGCCGTGAGCTTGCCGAGGGACATAAGAGACGGTCGGAATGAGAGCCGGCAGAAGGAGAGTTGGCGGGCTCCAAGAGCGAATTGGCGTAGCTTCATGGGCTACATTTTCAACAAGACCGTGCAGGGCTATTTCTGAAGTTGGAAATGGTTTGGGGGCGGTGTTGGATATCAACTTCCAAATAAAACACGGCGGGTATCTGGGTGTCGGGCATGGGTTGGAATGTTATATTGTATGTACCAGGGCGCGGATACAGCTTGTAATGAGCTGGCCGGGCCACTGGACGGCGAGTTTCCGGGAAGCAGTTTTGTCATAACTACCTACCTAGTTATTTAGGTAGTCTCGTCTTATTTCGCAACACTTGTATGCATTAGTGGTGCACCGCGTGGCTCTTCGATGTTGGTTGGGCCCACCGACGGCGCAAAGATTCCGGGAAAACGCTTTACCTGGCAAGTACCGCAGCCGGAGCAAAAGCCGGTCCCCACTGCTTGTCTAGTGTCACTCGTCAGCGGTTCTCGCCCCGGCCCGAACACCTACCGGTTGTTTCGAGGCTCTACCTTTCTTTTCTTTCCATTTACCCTCAAAAGCTTGTGCCGTTTACAAGTCCAACCCGCCCCTTCCCCCCAAGCTGAGATAGAGCAACCGGAGTATCAAGCTACACCTTAGCACTCGACTCTGAACGGGATTATCAACCGCCGAGGTAGTACCGACTCGTTGCTCTCCAACCCCAACCTCTAGCTTGCAGTCATGGCAGATAACGGACCGGGAATGCTTTTCGTTACCATGCAACCCCGCCAGGGGTTATCGGTGGACCAGTTCCACGAGTGGTACAACAACGAGCATGGCCCAACACGCCTGCGTCTGCCGCACATTTTCACGAATGGCCTTCGGTACCAGGCCACCGACAGCCAGGAACCGGAATTCCTGGCTGTGTACGATGTGACGTCCATGGCGCATCTCGAGACGCCCACCTACACCGACTTGCGCGCGAACCGTTCCCCGCGCGAGGCGGCTACCATCGCCGGGGTCGACGTCAACCGCAGATTCTTTGACTTTGTGGCCACGCAGCAGAGCCCCTCATTTTCGCCCATCGAGAAGCTAACGGACGACGAAGCAGAGGGTCTCGTGCTCGTGTCGGTTGAGATCTCACTCCGGCCCGGTGTTGAGGGCGCTGAACACGCCGTAACCGAGTGGTACGAGCAAGAACATATCCCGATGCTCTCCAAGATCCCGGGTTGGCTACGCAGCCGCGTCTTCCGCACGCCGTCCGCCATTGAGGGCAACACCAGCGAAGTCAAGATTGTCACGTTGCACGAATACACCAAAGAAAATGGCCTCGGGGGCCCCGAGCACAAGGCAGCCATGAATACCCCCTGGCGCGAGGATGTTTTCACCAAGTACATTGCCCACAAGGGACGCCGCACATATGAGTTGTTTTACGTCTTCGGCCCAGCACCGAGGGAGCTCTGTGCCCTGGCAAGATTGCCCAAATCCGCCGCTTTCTCGACCGTGGATGGGCGGATATCTACAACATCCGGTGAGAAGGACGCGGCAGTCGAGGCTTTCGTCACGACGTCAGACGGTCTCAGCATCCCGTACCGGCTAGAGGGTAACTCTTCCCCGCGAGCACCAACGTTGGCCTTCTCCAACTCGTTGCTTACCTCAATGCGTATGTGGGACCCTCTGGTTGCCATCATCAAGGCAGCGCGCCCTGACCTTCGAATCCTTCGGTACGACACCCGTGGCCGGCACGATGTTCCCTCTCCGCCTGTGCCCGCCAACCTCGACATGCTCAGTGATGACCTTGCGACTCTTCTATCGGCTCTGCGCGTCTCTAAGCTTCACGCCCTAGTCGGTGTCTCGATGGGGGGTGCTACCACGCTCAAATTCGCGATCAAGTACCCGGCCCTTCTGAACAAGTTTGTCGCTTGTGACTTCAATGTTGCCTCCAGCGATGCCAATACAGCTGCCTGGAAGGATCGCATTGCTATCGCTGAAGGCCCCGATAGCGGCATCCGGAAGCTGGCTAGTCAGACTGTCGAGCGGTGGTTCCACCCCCATACCATGACGGAGAAGAAGGATGTTGCAAACTGGATGACGGACATGGTTGCTACCAATAGTGTTCAGGGTTTCAAATATTCTTGTCAGGCGCTGTGGGATTACAACATGCGCGATGAGATGAGCAGTATTAAAGTCCCCGGTCTGTTGGTTGTCGGCGACGGAGATGGAAAGGGGGCGTTAGTGAAAGCTATGGATGGGTTCAGGGGATCGCTAGGTCCCAATGGTGCCGACCTCGAGGTCGTGCCGCGGGCTGGTCATCTTCCCATGTCAGAATCGCCTGCTGAGTTTTGGGACACCATTTCTACGTTTCTTTAGGACCTGGCCTGGCATGAGACAGCTAGAAATACTGCAGCGATAGGCATTGTGTACCCCTCCTGGGTACGCTAGTGGTATCGGGCAACTTATTGTAGGACCAAGCCTTTTGTTTCATTAAATATCTCCCCGTAACCTTCTGTGTCAAGACCTGTTGCTTCCCCCCGTTCCGCCATGCGGGTTATCCGAAAGTTCACCATCGAATAAAGCCTGCTTGTCTTCGTCCTGTACCGGTGGAGCGACCGCTATCTCTCCACGCATGATCTCGACCACCGAGATCACAGGTAGGATGAGCATGAGCAGCGATAATAGCTGGCCAAAGCTCCACTGCTTTTCACCTTGGTCGCTGAGCTTCACGTCCGGGCTACCGAACGCTTGCGATAACAAGTAGGCCCGGATAGTCGCTCCTGGAGAGACACAATAGTTAGCACTGTGATCTTTTCCCGTGGAAGCTATCAAGTGGGTAGCTTTGGTACACACGACATACCAATCGCAATGGCTGACATTAAAATCAGGCCGACAACTTGGACTACTTTGTAGAACCTCTGCCTCCGGCTCTGCAAGTACCATGTCGCTAAACCAAATACGATGCAGTTTCCAGCGATGGTGACAATGGTCCCAACGTAGTCAATGCCCCCAACGTTGGAAGTAGTCGAGTCGAGTACCCATATACAACCGATGGGCAAGGTGTTCGGCAGCCCTTTGACCTTGCTTTGTAGCACGTAGATGCCATACACACATGAGAGGGCTAGGTTCACGAACATCAAGAGTTGTCGCATCCACCTCAGGACCCAGTCCCTCTTGAAGTCTTGGACTAGCGCCAGGAGGGCCGCATTATGCGTCGCCATCGAGAGCAACGCTAGCATCCAGATAAGGAAGAAGTGGTACGGCACCAACGAGTTCGACTTTGCCAACCCTATGCTTTGCAGGCCGATACCGACCATGATCTGCTGGTCGGAATACCCGCTGAGAAGTTTCCGCCGAATCACGGATTGGTTTCGGTTTATATTAGAGGATGACGAACGCCATATTAATTCCTGCAGGACTAAGCTGGCTGAGATGCCCAGCGCCAAACTTGCTGTAATGGCCGAGGCAAGCAGAACCTGGGTTCCGGTGGTCAGTATCCGACAGGGCCACGGCTACTGAGGGATCGGGGGTCACATACACCTGCTCCGGCAATGCCAGCATCGCTCGGCACGGTGTCTGGGATGATGGTGCAGTTCCCCGGACTGAACATTGTAGGGGCCCCGAAGCATATAAGATTGAAGAAGGTGAAGAGGAAAAGAACTGCGGTCCGCTGTCGAGATTGAGAATGGAGACGAAAACAATTTCACGGCAATCTTTGCGACTGCCGTTCCTTAAAGTGATGGCATGCAAAGTCTCTTGATTGTCGCGTTCTGAAACACAGGGGGCCAACCAAGAGACCAACCTGAGAAATGACTGGCCGACGGGAATGGGACCGCCACAACTAAACGCCCTGCTCGGCGGCAACCGCTAACGAATCGAAGAGCTATATTTGGACAGACAACGGGATTAATAACATGCATTGCTCTCACTTGATTAAAATGGTTGGATTCAAAGAGAATTTTATTCTTCCACTTTGAGAGAGCAAAGTACCCGGTGAGCGACCTGCACGTTGGCTACCCCGTTGCGCTTGTTACACAAATAGTTCCACAAAAAACAGGAGTAAGTGCTTTGTCGAGTTAGCCTTGGGGGCGAGGCTCTGTCAATATGGGAATTCTCTCCCCGACAATATACGGTCGTTTCGATAGTGGTATTTGCGAAATTGCTCAAAGCGTCCTCAAGGTTCGTGTTGTAGCTACAACGAGCACTCTTATAAATAACAGTATTCTTGGACCATGAACTGAGCATTCTACCGCATATGGTCGTCTCCTTGTCTTACACTAAAACCTAGGCCCGAGTTTGACCCCTGATCTTGTGCTTGTGGGAATGTTCTGGCTCTGTCGTAGCTGGCGCAACACTGAAGTCGACGCACGACTCGTATGTCTGCCCCTGCCCGAACCAGTACCATTGGATGACCTGTGTCGCCAACAAGTGTTAGATCTAATCTGGAGCCGAAGGCAAGAAAAGCAAGAGGACTTACGCAAGCGCCAGCCTCGGTACATTGGTCCCCGAGCTCAGGAATTGTCACACTGAACTTTGTCTGGTCTTCTGGGGGGGTGGCGGAGCCGGCGTAATTGTCGGGCCAGGCAACCAAAGGCGTGCCGATCACGCTGTTGGTGGCCGTATCGACGACCGAGACGTTGGCATGACCTTCGTGCGGAATTCGGATCCAGACATCGAAATCGACTACCTGGCCGGCGGTATAGCTTTGCACGTTGGCGTTGTCGGCAAACTGATAGCCTTTGCAGAGCCAGAGATTGCAATTCTCGGGGTCATACGGGGCCTCCAAGCCGCCTGGGTTGGCTCGGAGCAGAGCTTCGGGGTAGGACGTATTGTCGGCCCGGTAAAAATCAACCATGACCTTGCCGCATGCTGCCTCGGTGGCTTCTCCCGGCCCACGTGTTGCCGGCTCTCTAACAAGGCCGTGGGCCGAGGCATGGGAGATGAGCCCTGCCAGGCCGAGTAACGATGTCGAGCTGAGATGCATGGTGATCATAAGTTGGGAGATGTGTTGCAGCAGTATCAACAAATTCCTGTCAAAACTATTTCAAGGCTGGCGGATTTGTTATCTCTTAAGTAGTGCTTCACCCTTTCCGTCCCTGCTTGCCAATCGTGGGCACGGAAGAAGGAAATACGGCTTTTAGACGTTCCGGTTGTTTTGGCTAATCATTCCCTTGTTGGACAAAAAACAAGGTCAGAGCGGCCAATGGCCACCCGGGAAAATGTGGAAATGGGTGATCGAGATAGACATCATTGATTAATTGCCGGGCTTTCGGCAACAAGTCGGCCGAAATGCAGGTTCGAGATGGCGGGGGTTCTCGGGGACTTGTTCCCACTGGGGAACACTGGCCGTCCCGGGTCGTGGGAAAGATGGGGCTAGCCCGCGTCGACGATTAATATTGGAGACCCGAGGATTGGGAGGCAACTGATCCAATGCGGAGCGGGGGACTTCACGTCTGGCTCACTTGCTGACCTGAACGTCTTGGTGCGTTCATAGATGCCTATCAAGTACAGATTATAGGTGTATAACACAACTGTTTACGTAGGATATACAGTTAGCCGAGGCTCGTCCTCGACTATATCCCGAGTTGCGAATTTAAGATTGACAGCTGCAGACAAAGTCCGAACACCGTTCTCCGACCTCGTTCCCATCAAGGTTCCACTAAAGCGCACCAATCATTGTCGCACGTCAATGTTTCATGTTAAAAGTTTATCTCATCGTAGCCGGTAACTCCTGTTCCTCTCGAGTCTGATTCCAGGTTGTTGGTTGATCAAGCGGCCGGGGGAGCAGAAGCTTTCTCGACCAATTCGGCGAAGTCGGGAATCTGAGCGCTCTTCAGATCATGTGTCCAACTGCCCCGAGTGTTGTGAATGCCAAACCGGGTGGCATTGTTGGCCGGCTCGGTAGGTGGCCTCGCTGACTGCGCATACGCCAGTGACACTGTCCCGGCCGGGTCGAGGTTGGTGCTTCCCCACCCACTGACGCCCTTAGCGAGTACGGTGAGCGTCCAGTGAGTGGTGTTGGCCGTCGAGGTGGGGAGGATAGTGTAGGAAGCGCCGGTAAAGGGGTTGGGATATGACCGGGAACTACAAACCAGCAGAGTGTAAGTAATCTCGCCTTGACGCATCTCGTTTGTATCGCTTCGAAGTGGTTCGATGTATGATATCCCTAAGTAGGGTTGTTTATATTCCTCTTGATCCTTTGAGTCACTCACCTCGCACTTCGGCTCGAGACAACGGTCTTGTCCCCGTTAGCCCAACCCACTGTTAGGGGATTATTGACCATCACGCCGCCCCACGCGATAGCTGCCCAGCCTACTGTCTGAGGGGCCTCGATCTGGAGCAGGACATCAAAGTCACCCGCTGTCGCCGTGTCTGGAATGGCGATTCGGTATGCAATCTTCTCGGGACTAATCCATTCAGAATAACAGATCGTGGTAGCGGCATCGCAATATTTGGCCGCCGAGATGCCTCCGCTCTGTGGGACGGGGGTACCAAGACCGGTGTTCCCAAGGGCGAGCGCCGTTCCGACGAGGTGAAGAAGGCCCATCACGTATGTATGGGAGGAATGATATTGTGATGAACGGGGGTGCAGGATCTCAAAGGCATCGACGGGGATGATGAATGCCGACAGTACGAGATGGCCCTTTCACAGGAGTATAGTCTGAGGTATATAAACCATTCCACCTCTTGTCAACCTTTATCCGGGTTTCTCTAGTTGATCCTGACCGCTCGTTTACTTTGACGTCGAAATTTGGGACGGCTGATATCGAGCTCATATCCCCGGCTATGGGAATTAGTAATTGCGCGTTTCTTAGTGGTGGTTAGCCGAATCTAATAATGCAGCACTCGACCTTAGTGGTTATTTCTTTATTAACAAGAACGTCGGCGGAAGGCTGTCTGGTACTGCCGAATGCCCATCTTCCGCCCATCACGGGGGGCTTTGTGGCAGGTAGGCGAAACGTGAGACAGTGAGATCTGTGGGCCGAAGATAAAAACACTCATATAAGGTGAGGGTCGAGGTCTAAGAGCTTAGTTCAAGAAGGACCGAGTCCCTGAACTCGCCTTCGGTCGACAGTAGTAAAGAACTCAAGGGCGTTGTATTGAAATCGGAAGACCACACTCTTGCTTCAGGTTCTCAAACACGGCGGTGAGACTCAAACTTAACAAACAAAAAGTATATTTGGAGGCGTTTGGATTGCTCTAGTACTGCCCCTTATCCTCTATATCATAACATTCCGTATTCGGGTATCCCGTCTTCTTCAACTCCAGCCCAGACCTGTTCTCTACAAGTCGTCGATATCTATCATGCCCGCTACCCTGGTGCATCGTACTTTCATGCGACCATGATCCAACTTAGGATCCTCACCCAACCGATGGGAACGCCCCTGGGACACCCGGACAGACGTCATCCGGCTCTTCTCCATTCCACGACGCTGGTTTGTTGCCATCTCGGTTCATTTCACTGCTCTTGCGCTGCTTCTCGGCCCGAATTGGGATACTGAGACTGGCTGTCGTTGAAGTTTTGCCAGCTTTGGAGTCGCCATCCTCGTCTTCTCGCTTTGCGTCTTTCTTTTCCGCCTCCTTTTCCTTCTTCTTTTTCATCTTCTTCATCACTTCGCCGGTGAGGTCCTGTTTAAGCAGTCGTTCGAGGACGTCTTGCTTGCGGGTCCGCCGGTCCCCGATTGAGATAAGTATACCAGCGAAAATGTTCGTCGTAATGGAGCAGCACAGGATGGTGGTGGTGACGGCGGCTGGTAATAAATGGGCCGAGACTGCCCAGGTACAAATGCCAAGCGAGATTTGCAAGCAGCTGTGTAGGTCGAGGAGAAGCACGACGGCAATTAATAACCGTAGAGGAAACGCATGATGCGTTTCGGTTTCGTGTGGCTTGTAAAAGGTGTGCGATTTTGCCAGTTTGGTTTGGTGATGTACCAACCGGGCCTGTGCCTTTTCCGACAGCACAGGGACGAACTGGTCCTGTTTCTCTTCCTTCGAGCGAGGTTGAGCCTCAGGGTCCTGATTAGGCTGATCTTGGCTGTTGCCCGTTGGCAAGTCATTGTGGTCGTGCAGATCGGGAAGCAGGAGTTTGCTGCGCATTTTCCACGTTTTTTGGTCTAACTCTCCCGAGTTAACCTCGAGGGCCCACCAGAGGGAAAGGGGGCTTACGGTAATGTGCTACGAATATCATATGGTATGTGTCGACAGCACGAAACGGGGCGAGGCCGTCGCCGACAATGCCAAAGAGAGCGACCAAGATGTAGTCGATAACATCGATCGCATAGAGCTGCCGGTCACCGACATAAATCCACCCAATCAAGAACAGCACCCAGGCGAGCCCGAAGAGGGTAATGAGTGTGGCATAAATGGTGACGAAAAAGCCGAGGGGTCTGCTAGCGTACTTGCCAAATGCTTTGAGCCGCTGTTTGATCTTGGACCGCCGGGAGTGCAACATATGCCGGACATAGTCATTCAAGGCTTTGATGTCCTCTTCTTGCCAACCCTCCAGCGAGGCGTCGTTGGGGAGGATGGCGTACTGGGGTTCGCTGAGAACCGAAGAGAGGCTGGGCGAACGGACACCTCCGGGTGGGCGTCCGTCGCCGGTACCTTCTGCGACGGCCACATCCTCTTTTGAAAGGGGGAAAGCACCGGGTATTCGAGGAATTTGTGATAGATCATAGGTCGGCCTGCGGTTCACCCACTTTCCAAGAGAGGGTACGAATAATGAATTTTGGATGTTTGTAATGGATGATAACGTCGCTACCTCGGGGTCTACCATCGCATCTCTTGTCAGCGGAGGTTTCAATCATGGGGCGACACGGAAGAGGAAGAAAAAAGAACTTACCGACAACATCCAGAATGTCAACGATCCTGGAATCATAACAATCTTTATCTTGCGTGTCGCCTTGGGGGAGCCCCTGAACCGTTGGGCGCCGTCGACCAGGAAAATGGCGGCGCCTGTGAGTTGGGATCCCATCGGCAACAACTGCCACAGGCTTTGGATTGGTGGCATGATCTCGACTTCGATGTGACGGAGCTTCAACCACGGGCGGTAATGTAGTCCATGTAGTTGCGGCCGGGATCGCGGGACGCTGTGGCTCTGAGCTGGATCGTCGGCGGCCGCCCAGGGGCTCTTTCTCGGTTGTATTCAGAGGCGGAAGCCCTGAGGGCAGAGTTGGCCCCCTCAGTCTGCGAAGACGGATGGCCGATTGGTGACGGTCTGGCGGGAGAGCGCGCGCTTCTTGGGTGACGGTATGGGATGGTGGTTGCTCGGTGGTCGGTGTCTCTGGAATCTCGTTCGCCGCTGGGGCCGGTATCGGGGAGAGGGCATCGGCGTTATGCGCGTCGCCAGGGCTGAAGTAACTGTCTTCGTGTTCGACTTTTCTTTGTGCCGGCACTTCCGCCCTTTGGGGAAGCCTCTCCGACATGGTCGCGGCACGGACATCGCTCAATGACAGACGTTCAGGCAAGTTCGGATTGATCCCATAATATTCGCAAAAAAGAGTAACAATTCTGGAAGCAGTGCCAAGGCAGGTGAATTGGACTCGGCATTTAGTGGCCAGTGACGTCACATATCGCCAGAACGGCACCCAACTCGCCATCCTCTAAAACCCGAGAACCGCACGAGGGAAATTGCTCGATATATACCGAGGGAGCCAAAGATACCGAGAATTCCTATCTTATAAGGAGCAAAAGTAAATGCGTCAGCCGCGAATCGAACGCGGGGCCCATCGATGGCAACGATGGATTTTACCACTAAACCACTGACGCGAGGGTGTGGAGGGTGCAGTTGTTGCCGAGTCTTGCTCCCTATGAGGATCAGATTGTACTTGTTTTCGCGTCGACGAATTTATGTCGCAGGCACAGCCTGGCCAGGTATTGGCATGTGAAATACCGTTGTAGGGGCCCCTGAAATTCAAGCCGCTTGCTTCCTCTGCTTGCGAGAAAAAGCCTTCTAAAGGACTCCTCATCTTAGCTCGAATCAAGCAGTGTTTGAACAAGAACAGGTGGTTTTTAATTACCAACAGGATGTACACAGCAATGTGTTTTCTTTTCGGAGTAGCGTGTCATTAAGCATTGAAATTCGGGTGGGCGTATTTAGGGTAAATTAGGGCGTGCTTTTATCACTCCTCTCACTGTGATTCATCCTGACCCGAACTTATTCACCCTTTGAACTATAAGTCGCAGCCAAACATCAAGGTTTAAAACAAACATCATCTGCCCGACGTAAAGAGGTTCATGAGACCAGAATCACCAAACCGTAGTTTCAACCACAGCTCTTTAATCGTTCCCTTCACCTTTGCCGAGCCCCGGGATTAGTCCGTATCGAAGCCACGACCCTTCCCGTTTCCACCATCCGCTAGTGCCATAATCATCTTTGGTTCCCGAAAACCAAGATCGATCCCCACGATACGCCAGGTCGGGTTAGGTCACGATGAGGACGGAGCCGGACCCCTCAGTCGGCCTCGCAACAACTGAAACCGGTCCTCCGAGACTTGAGAATACGCAGTGGAACGATTCGCCTGGCCGTCCCGAGTCTGTTGCGCCGTCACTCAAACAACAGAATGAAGAATGCACCAGCAACGACACCCCAGTTAATACCGCCCCCGAGAAACATGCGGCCGACGCGGCCGAGACCGAGTATCCCAGCGGCTTCAAGCTTATTTCCATCATCCTTGCACTTATTATGGGCATCTTCCTTGCTTCTCTGGACATGGTGAGTAACGAGGAACGCTGGAAACTGCCCGACTCGCATGGCGTTTACGTCGGTTTTGCTAACCCCCAGCACCGCGCTAGACTATCGTTGCCACCGCCATCCCGAAGATCACCGATGAGTTCCAGGGGCTGGACAAGGTGTCGTGGTACAGCGCCGCCTTTTTCATGACGAACGGGGGCTTCCAGTCTTTGTGGGGTAAAGCCTACCGTTACTTCCCCTTGAAGTTCACCTTCTTGATGGCCATTGCTGTCTTCGAACTCGGAAGCCTTGTTTGCGCGCTTGCCCCGAACTCTACCGCCTTCATTGTTGGCCGCGCCATCAACGGCCTGGGCGCTGCAGGTATCGGCACCGGCGCTTACACCATAATCGCCTTTGTCGCCGAGCCCAGAAAGCGAGCTACCTACACTGGCTTCGTCGGGATGTCGTTCGGCGTTGCCTGTGTTGTGGGGCCGCTCATTGGCGGTGTCTTCGCTGACAAGGTGACTTGGCGCTGGTGCTTCTGGATCAACCTTCCTGTCGGCGGCCTGTCCGCCCTTATCATCCTCTTCTTTTTCCAAGCGCCCAGTGCCGCGAAGCCGGTTGCTGCTCCGTGGAGGGAGAAGTTGCTGCAGATGGATCCGATCGGCGTAGCCCTCGTCATGGGTGCCATCGTCGCTTTTATGCTGGCTTTGCAGTATGGTGGCCAAACTGCGCCGTGGAATAGCAGCGTCGTCATCGGCCTCCTGGTTGGCTTCGTCCTGATAACGGCGGCCTTCATCGTCTGGGAACACTTCCAGGGCGAGCGGGCTATCATCGTTCCTCGACTGTTCAAACAACGAGCGATCTGTATCAGCTGCCTCTTCGCCTGTATGTTCGTCGGGTCCTACTACCTGATCATCTACTACATCCCCATATACTTCCAGAGCGTTAGCAACGCCACCCCCACCATGTCCGGTGTCTACAACCTTCCCCTCATCATCGCCACCACGATTTCCATGATTACATCTGGCATGCTCATCAGTGCCACGGGCCTTGCCGTTCCGATTCAAGTCGGAGGTGCCGTTGTTGGTGTCATTGCAGCAGGTCTCCTATATACACTGGACATCGATACCAGTGTTGGCAAATGGATAGGATACCAGCTCCTTGGTGGTGTTGGCTGGGGCCTCGCATTCCAGGTACCCATCATTGTTGGGCAAGCCAACGCGGATCCTCAAGATATCTCGTCTGTGACCGCAATGGTTCTTTGTAAGTCAATCCATTCCTCTTCCTGCCTCAACTCACCTGCCTGAGGGAGCCCCTTTTAACCGTCACTCATATAGTCTTCCAATGTATCGGTGGTACTGCCTTTGTGACAGCTGCCCAGGCTGCGTTTGTCAATCGGATTATCCAGACGCTGCCTGATTCTGCCCCCGACGTCGACCCAGCCGATGTGGTCGCAACAGGAGCGACCCTAATCCGCACAGCTTTCCCCGTTGATCAGGTCCCCGGTATCATCGTTGCATATATGGCTGGTATCAAGGTCGCACTCGGGATTTCCATTGGGGGTGCTGGCCTAGGTCTCGTTATCTGCCTGGGCAGTCGGTGGAAGAGGCTCAATTCGGATGCGGTAAAAGATGCCGTCGTGGCCGCGTAACGACGGATCCAGATAGATGGTGGGTTGTTTGTAATACATAATGTAATATGATACCCAGAACTCGGTTCAAAGGTCCAACCTGTCGCTTGAGCGTTGCCGGCCTTGCAACAACTATGCAAGCTCTGTCCCCCTGTTAGCTCTCGCTCGTCACCAACTCCCGTAGTTTCTTTCTACAGTGCAAGGAGCGGTTGCGTTTCTTCACACCTACACTATTTCCATAGTTAGTGAGCTAGAAATCGGCACCTGTCTCCGGTAGCACTGCCCGATAGAACTGGGATTTTGCCGCCCGTGTTCGATCAAGTTATGGGACAGCACCGCCAACACTCCATGTTTGGTTCCGGCTCGCAGACAAAATCATCACCAGGTGAAAGTCAAAACGCCGGCGGGTGAAGTAGAATCTAAATACGACGCGGAAGTACGAGCCCCACTCCGAAACTAAACAGGAAAGGTAGGTATATATCACTGCAGGGTCCCTATAGCCCCATCTTTGCGTGGGCGTCTGGTGAATACCGTCCTCTCCCACCCGTCAATGTCGTCAAGAATAGTCTCCCGGACCAGCTCATATTTACCTACCTTTGGCAAAATGACGGCCCAAACTAGCCAATAAACACCCCCTGCAAAGATAATTCCGAACCCAACGACGCAATGGATCCAGTACGGCAGGGATTTGTAGATGTTCTGGCCGTCTTCTGGTGGGACGAATGGCGCAACTACAAGGTAGACGTTGCTGAGGAAGAAGAAGATGACGACGGGGAGAGTAGCGCTGATTGGAGGGTTCCAGTTCCATGACTTGCGGTTCAGGTAAAGGTAAATCAGTCCTGCCGACACGAAGGCGTTCACAATGGCAAGGGGGTATGAGATGAGGCTATCAGGGATTTGGGTCAGCGAGTGGGAATAATGATAAGGATGGGGAAACAGGGGGATCTTGGCTTACTTCAAGATGAAGTCGTAAGCATCCCCAGGCGGGGGGGCGAGCATGATGATGACGGAAACAACCCAATGCTCGAAGAGGCCAGCGAGGGGGGCATTAAACGGACGATTGCTTGCCCAAACCCGAGAGAAGGGGAGAATACCCTCACGCCCTAGTTCTTGAACCAGTCGGCCCTGCGAGAAGATGACGCTGAGGACATTGCCGAAGGCCGAGAGCGCGACAAAGACTGAGAGGGCACGTTCCGCGGTACCGCCAAAGACGTTCCTAAACAGGGAAGCAGCGACGAGCCGCCGGGCTTCAAGGATTTCCTCCTTGGGAACCGCGGCGAAGTAGGCGACGTTGACGAGCATGTAGAGAACCGAAATCGTCCCGATGGCCAATGGCGCGGCAATCTTGAGCGTGCGTACGGGGTTTCGCGTCTCCGATAGGCTGTAATTGGCATTACTGAAACCAACAAAACTCCAAATGACGTTGTAGAGGGCCGTCACAACGCCGTAAGCGCTTCCTGTCGTCCCCTCGAATGCATTGGTGAAGTTGTGTGGTCGGCGGTCCTCGGGGAGCTTGAGGTGCCCTGCAAGGGCGACCCAGCCAGTAATGACGATGATGAGAATGATAATGACCTTGATGCCCCCGAGCAAGTTCTGGAGGCGAATTCCCCATTTGAGTGCCGTCCCGTGGATGAGAAACGCGGCAGTGATACAGGCAATGCCGATCCCACGCTGATTCCACCGGTCCACTTCGATTTGAGCCGCATGAAGAATGTACTCCCTAACAAAAAGAAGACATTCTCCGTTAATCTATGCTGCAGGAAACGCCGGGGCGAGGAGAAAAGACGGAAGGTTCGTGTAGTAGGAAGGGGATTCAAAGTGCCGCAAGAAGACTCACCCAAAGATAACCGAATTTCCACTGGCCCAACCGAGCAACACCACATAACCGGTGTATAAACCAGTAACGAGGAACTTTGGCTTCTTGTACACATATTCCAGGTAGTTTTTCTCTCCCCCGTTTTGTGGGATGGCGGTTCCAAACTCTAGGTATACTGCGGTTCCGGCAAGGGCGATGATTGCACCGGCCAGCCACATAAATAGGGAAAGGCCGACGCTGCCGGATAGCGCTAGGATGGAGCCTGGTGTTGCAAAGATACCGGTACCGATGACACGGTTGACAACGAGGAAAGTGGCAGACACAACGCCGATCTGTCGCTTGGCATCTCGTGCTTGTTGAAGGTGGCCTGGGAATCCGTTTAGCAAATGGGATAGAGAGACGAGGTAAATGTCTTGAGAGGTTAGGACCCACTAACCAACTTGGCTGCTATGGTCGTCGGAGGCAACAGGCTCGCTCTCATTGTTGTCACCTTTGTTGGCGGCGCCGACCCGCGGTGTGAGGGACTTCAACATGGCCACGCAAGCTTCCACCACGTGGTTGGGGGACGAGGAGGACTGGGGACACGGACAGGAGCCACAGGTTCAAGATGCTTTAAAAAGAAGTTCGGGCGGCCCTGGTCTGCGGCAGGGATGGGCGTGCTTTCCCTTTCATACCCCACAGCGACCTGACTAGAGAGGCAGGCGGCGACTCAGCGCTGTGCATGGCGGCGAGATCCCTGTCCAAAGAGGACTTTGAAAATGGAGCCTATGGCCCAAACGAGCCGAGAAAGCGGCGCATTGCTCGATTTTTGGTAGAGTTGTGGATGTCGTGCTCTGGCGTCATCGGATGTGGAGTTGAGAAAACTTTTCATTTAGCAAATTAGTACTAAATGGTTGGGAAGAGAAGATGCGAGCTCAACTACCTACCTTGAAGACTCAACTTCTAAGTGTAAGTGGAAAGAGTAGATGACTGAGATAGAAGGAGAAAAAATGGCTCAAACAACGGGAGCGAGGAGAGGTGTTCGTAAACCGAGTGTATCTTCTAGCAAAGTGTAAACTCGGTAAGCATTTCATGTCAGCTCGGCCCGTGCTACCTTAATCCGCTCCCGAACGCACAAGTAGAGATATCCTGTTGGAGTTTGGCGGGATGACAGAAGTTGAACTAACTTACCACCATCGTGGCTGTTATAACCCTGGTAGAGCGGTTTGCATGACAAGCACGATTGTTTCTTCGGCGTAGGATCACCACTTCAATGTCGAGTTACACTATGAGAAGTGAGACATCTGCAGCATAGTTTGTACTGTGTATGTATATGTGCTAGGAACCCTACAATACACAAGCTCAAGAATTGCGGTCGGAAGAAGGGAAAGACAATCCAGGTTCACTCATCCACCCTATGCGTTCTCATGATGGTGTGGGGACGGTTACCATTCCCTGCTTTAAACCTCGGTTGTCGAGCCGAGGGGGCCGAAGCGGATGTTGGACCAAACAACCGTGCTGTTCGCCTGTTAGTGATAATGTCACGGCAGAGCCTTATACAGTCAACTTACGCGTCGGGGAACTCGGCCTCAACCTCAGACGGGACGCCGGAGTCCGGAGCACAGGGGCCACGGTCGCCACCGGGGGTGCCGGCCTTCTCAGGGGGGTAGCTGGAGTCGAGCCAAAGCATGTTGGCGTAGTGCTGAGAAAGATTAGCGTCATGATCCACCCACTGGCCGTAGCCGGCACGCGAAACGCAGAGGAACCTACATCATCCCAGATGGACATGACGAGCACCATGGGGACGCCAAGGGCGGCGTTCAGCGCCTCGAAGCCGCCAACCTCGGCGAAGCGGTCGCGGTCGCCAAAGACCTCGGGCATAGCGCTGCACAGCTCGGGAGTGATGGCGCTGCTCTCCGTAGGGAGGCCCTCGTGCTTCGGGGCCGGGATCTCAATCTTGGCGCCATCCTGGACGAAGAACTGGGTGAGCTTGTTCTCCTCGAACTGGCTGACGACACTATAGTAGGGCGGATTCCAATTAGCACTCCATGTCGCCCAGGTGGGACCGAGGGTCCGTCACTCACGTGAACTTCTTGCTGGTGTCGAGGGTCATGCCCTTGCCGTAGAAGTCGGTGTTGCCCACGCGGTACGGGTTGTAGTCGCAGCCGTTGGCGTCACAGTCGCCCGCAAAGCGGTCCTCCGAGTAGGTGCCACCGCAGGTGGTGTCCTCGCAGACGTGGTAGTTGTTGTTCTCACACGCGTGCGGCGTGAAGGCAAAGGCGTGCGCGTTCGACTCCCTATACTGCGGGTTAGATACTGGGAATTACCTGGGTAGTATTGCCGTCGTGCAGAGCCCTTACCAGATATCGATCTCGGCGCAGCAACCACCCAGCGGGCCAACACCGGCATTGGCGTCGTTGGTGGACGGCTCCCAGCCCTCAACGTTGGCCTTGCCGCCGACAAACTTGAGATCGCGGGCGCATTGGGCATCGCAGTACTATGTCAATGGTTAGTAGGTGAAGTCGGAAGGTGGGGACCTCGGAGAATTCAACTTACTCCCGTGCCGTACTTGGCGCCGGCCTGGTTGCTGGGGTAGCTGGCCATGCCACCATCCTCTTCCATGGCTACGAAGTACAGCGCGCTGTTGAGGCCGCATTCGATGGTCGACAGGTCAACGTCAAAGGTGAACTCGTTGCCCATGAGGGTGAACATCTGGTACTTGTCCGCGCCCTCCATGAGGTAGAAGCGGGAACCGATGTTGGTGCCGTACTCGTGCTTGGTGACGAACTTGAGAGACAGGGAGTCGCCGCTGGTTTCGGCACCGTAGGTGGTGCCATACTCGGCGCCTTCGAGCATGCACACCTCTGCGCACTCGTCGGCGGTGCTGCAGACGTCGGTCCACTCGTTGCCGTCGTAGCAGTTCTTTTGGTCGGCATCGTGCAGCCAGCGCCAGTTGGCGTCAATGACGACCTCGGCGTCGACGGTGGTGCAGGATCCTGGGCCCGAGCACTTCTTCCATGTGATCTTAGGGTGCTCCTCGGCTGTGCCCTCGCCGACGCCCTGAGCCGTGGCGAGGCTCACCAGCGGCAAGGCCGCGGCGAGATACTGGAGGTACTGCTTCATGATGACGGAAGAGCTGCGCAGATGGAAAGAGCGGCTTGAGCGTGAAGACAAGTGGGAGGTTCCAGGCGCCGCCGTCTCCCCTTTATACCACTGTTCTTGTGAGAGATGGCCTGGTGCGGAGACGGAGGTGTCCAGATCTGGAAAACATGCTCAACATGGCAGTGGAAGACTGAGCCGAAGATCCATACCACTGGTCCATTGTCGAGTAATTGACCAGCCAACAGTTGATCCGGCTTCATTGGGGGATGATGCACCGAGAGCCTTGGCTGGGCGGCGCCGAGCTGGGCGACGACAGCAAGATAGATTAAGCGTCCCTGAAAATCTGGGGTACACACCATGTTGCATCTCCCCAGAGGTTGTTGGAATTGGCGCTGCTTGGGCGCCTGGAGTTGTCAGTCTGTGCCGGCTCTGATAGGCGGCGAGTTCCAACCCCCCGGCCTTACGCCGCGATCATGCCTTTTTCCGGGTCGGGATCTGCGTGCCCAGCACGGAGACTGGGCCCCCGCGGTTGCAACGTGGTCCCCAAGAGGATCCGTCGCCGTTATGGGGGAGAGCTTTGCTCTCGAGAGGGGGGAAGGTAATTTAATATGAGCTAATCAATTTATCGGCCCCTCACCGAACGACATGTTGCCGATGCTCCAGTATTGCCGAGCCTGAGCGAGCGGGTCCCATTGGCCGGCCCCGGAGTCTTCACGGACGGCGTGCCGGCAGTTGGTCCCGTGGCTAGGTTCTTGGCTGCCATCATGGGTTGCAACCTGCTATGCCGACAGTGCGTGGGCATGATGCTGATGATCAGGTCCCGGATGTGCCTACCGGACGGTGCCATTTCCTTGGTCCGTCCCCGCCACCGTCCATTGGCTGCCTTCGGTGTTTTGCTGCGCCGGACTCCCGTGAAACGCGACGCAAGAACGCCGTTGAATTTACCCCGGAGATTGACTGAAACGGAGGGGCCGCCTCCGATTCGTGGACCAGCAAAGGCAGCCAATGCCTCAGCATGGTCATATACGATCCAGCTCTGGGCATTTCCTTTGGCTGCCATTGTCTGCCAACATGTGTGCATGATCTGCCGATGCCATGGATGGGCGGCGGGTGCAATCGACGCAACCTGCAACCGACACACCTGGATCTAATGCTCGGGTAGTCACATCAAGATTGCAGTTGCCTCTCATTAGATTTGATGATGCGCGCAAATAGATAGGTGTGGCCCGATCCCAGATCTTCTTGGTGTATTGGGAAGCCCCTGAAACTCCGGAGTGCCTGGCCGCCGCTCCTGTTTCCGCTCTAGAAGTAGGCTTGACGGGAAATCGGATCTTGATTCCATGTTGGCATAGATGTTCGACCTTTTGATGTTCTTGGCATCCCGACGCGTACACGGGCATGGGTAGCAAAGATTTGGCTAGGTAGTGAGCCTGAGGAATCTAATTCTCGTGGCACACCCATCGCACGTAGCCACTTATCGTTAAACAACACTTGAATAAATATGTTAGCTGAAGGGTTGAGTTCTTGACCGACTGCGAGGTGGCCGATTCGGGGACTACCTACCTATGTACCTATCGAGACGGTTGGACTAGCACTTGTAGTATGGCAGCTGCATGTTTCTCCCTAAACCCGATAATGACACAGACGAACTGCCCGGCTACTTATAGCGTTTTGACAATTGAGCTGCACAAAGATATAATGAAGCGGTGCTAAAACTCTCCAAAACCATACATATAACCAACGCTGGTTAGGTAAGTAGGTATGTACTGCGAGGTTGTGATCTCAATGTCGCATAAAGGAGATGGTTCAGCATGCGACTTCGTAATAGGGGATCCCGCGATCTTCGTGTCGTTGCCTAGTGTCGTTGCCCGTGCCCGAAGATGGGGACAATCACGAAATGCTGTCAAATAGAGAGAGACTGCTGCCAGCGCTGAATAAGAATGGAATGCCTGCCCGTGGCCCTCTCACCGAGGGGGCCGAGACACTACGGAAAAAACGGAAAAAGTATAAGTCCAAGACTCCAAGCCCTCTCTGGTTGAGGCACATGGCCACCATGGACAGGCAGCTCGTGCCACAGATTGACTTCTATCGCTCAGAGACACGAACAAGATCTCTTGGCATTTTGATTACTTTCGGACCTCAAGGTGGCCCGCTAGACGCGCGGCATCGATCCTTGCCACGTAATTGCCGGCATCGTGCATCGTTGGGTCTCCAAACAATTTCGTTTCCAACACCTCCGGCGCAACTTCCACAGCCCTCCATTCAGTTTGTCCAGTCTCCCCACAGACATCCATCAGGACAATGCAGGTTCCACTGACGCGCAGAATGGGCTTAGGGGCCCGAAGACTTTCGGTGGAGGGCTCCTTAGACTCCTGGGCCCTAGAGAAACAATTTAGCAAGAGGTGAATATACTCCTGCTGGGCGAGGGGGATTGGGTCTCTCTCGTTGACCACGTTCAGAAACAAGCCGGATTGAAAATGTGGAGACCGGGGCTTTAAGATCGGAGAGGCGACAACCGGCGGTGCACCAAATACGATACAGTGGACATGGCGGAATCCTAATGTGAAAGGGGGATAGGCGGTGTTAGTTTAAGCCAGCCTTGGGTGGTGCTTGGCATGAATGGCTCGCTTACTTGGTATGACGCTGGAGAACAAACCGCCAGGAGATGAGCTCATGGCATAGAAAAGCTTCGCAATCGCGCCTCCGGCGGAGTGGCCTGTGAAGAGCAGGTCGACGGGTCTTCCAGCGTTGGCCATTCCGTCAAGCTTCTCGACAATCGCCTTCAGAACGTTTCCTTGCATGTCTTTTGCCACAGCAAGAAAGCCCCTGTGGCATTGCTGAGGCGGTTGGAGTGATTCATGTTCCATCACTGGAGCCTCGTTGAGGTTAACCAGCCAATCCTTAAACCTCGCCGACCCGCGCACTGTCACGACAATGGCATGATTTCCGTTGGGAAGCTCATCGTCGGATATGGTTGTCTTTTTGGAGTAGCTGGAGGGATTTAGAAGTGTGTCGTGCGGCGAGTAAGGCACGTCGGAATATATCCTTTGCGCTCGTAAGACGGCACGGGAAATGAGCTGCCACGTCTCTTCGGCCCTAGTGAGCATAGGTCAGAGATCTCTAGTAACGCCGTTAACCACTTATAGGATCGAAACTTACGGTTTGAACTCGCTTGCCTCATGGCTCTCGATCCTGTGGATTTCTTGTCTCTCGATAGCTGCAAGGTATCGGTCTAGGGCCCGCTGCTGTGACATGTTGACTGCAGACACTCACAGTTAGTGCCGATTACAAAGGAGCTGCCGAGCCATGACCATAGCGGGGACAAGGGGAGGCCCAGAACCAACCAGCACTGCATTTGGGCAAAGTATCCAGGAATATCGAGGCCTTGGCAAGAGCCTGGGACGTTCCTGCAGAATGTGGAGCAGAGCGAGACATGGCCGAGATATCTGCGCTGCCGTTGAGCATAGGAGTGCTGGTCGCTCCCGCATGTACGCTCCGAGAACCCCATATTCCAGCACCGAACATTTTTGCAAGCGTGGACCCGGGCCGTTTACGCCTCTTTTCCGACTGCGTGTTCATGATGTTGGCTAGATGTAGTAAAGGGGCCCTTGTGGATGTTGCAAGTTCTCTCACGCGTTGCTACAAATGTTCCATGTGACAGGCGACATCTACCTCTCCGCAACGGCCCATACCATATATAAGCTTGCTAAAGCCTTGCTGGCCTCCTGTCGCCAACGTGGCAACAAGAGCAACATTAGGCTTCTTTGGGCAGCTAACTGCCCGACGAGGCACCCAATCATGTATAATCATTGCATGCTACGTCAGTTGGTGTAACCAGCCTTTGCCGCCTCTTTCCACGTTTTTGGTCCTCCGAAGGAGTGTTTCATGATTTTTCTACCAACAAGATCAGTGATGCAGTTCACGGGGCCGCCACCGTGGCAGGATACAGCGGTTCTTGGGCCCCAATGCAGATAGAAGCGCACAAAAGAGACCGCCGGGGGATGAAGGGGGAGTCCCAAGGGAAAAGCAAGCATTGCAGCTTTCTACATGTATTTTACTGCCGCCATACGCCCCTTATTGACTTTTGGATTCCCGGATTTAGAGCACTCAATTCCTGGTATCAATCCGTAACTTCACTGTCAAGAACCAGTCGCCGCGATGTCTCAGCAGCAAAGTCATTCGAGCGGCAGGGCCCCTCAGGCCGCTACCCCAGCCACGTCTTCCAACACGGGACAGGTCACTGATGCCAATGACCTTCTTAACGAGCTTCGAAAAGTGTATTGGGGGTCGGTCGAAAGAGAGGCTCGAAATATGATTGAGTTCTATTCCGATTTATGTTCTCTAGGGGATCTTGCACTCAAGCCCGAGATTGACTTGAACGTGTGCTGTGACAGCTTCAAGAAGATCTTCGACGTCTGGAGTATGGGCAATACATGCAATTTTGCCCAAGTCAGCGCTAACAATTCTGAAGTGGGTTGCCAGTCCGGGCTTGATAAAGACTCTACGTCAGATTTGTACGGAGAGGCTATCAACGCTGCAAAAGGTATGTTTAAATAGCCACACACCCTGTTGCCTACCTAGTGTAAACCCAAGTTGATGTGTTTTTAAGACCATTTCACCGCACCAAGAGACAAGCGAGAGTGGGCTGCTCGTCTGATTTTGCAGGCTTCTGGTGAGTTTTCAGCTCGTATTATCAGTTGCGCCGCTAACCCGTACCGTATCTGGCACACTAGGTCTCCTTGACCTTGATGTCCTTTATGAGCCAACAAACGGTTCACAGAGATACGTCAAAATGCAGCAAAGCCAACCAAATGGTAAGGGAATAGCTACCCACGAATTATCCCAAGGACTTCTAGTCTTCGTCTAATCGGTTACCTTTCTTAGTTGAGCGAGTTGAGATTTGCAAGGAAGGCCGGAACACACATGTTGTCCGCGGAATTACCTGCAGCTATTGCCACTCTCTGATTAAATCCGTAGCATTCTACGAATGCAGAGAGGGATGCAAATCTTCTTGCTTCTACGAGTCGTTACCAGAAGCCTCTGGGCCTCCAGCCTTTTATATTCCCGGCGAAACGCCAACTCAAGATGAGGCTGTCTGGAAACATTATCCGGCCTACAGGGTTTGCTCGGTATGTATGAGCATAACGAACACCAACATCCTGGATCCCTGTGATCGCGGTCACTTGCACGAGGTAACCTACAGCGAGCCGAACATCAAGGGTAAGTCTTGGGCTATAAAAAGATAGCTGGGTAGTCGTGTCATTAACCTCATCCTACTAGGCCTTAAAGCGTTTCGTTCTGAGCTTATCAAGACGGAGCTTCACCGACAAAAAGGACATGACCGCGGCACGTCCTCGAATTCGAGCCAGGATGCTGGCCACGTCGTAAAGTTCATCGAAAAAGCTCTCCGATCAACCGAGGGGTTGTGGCCAACAAACCCGCGGCTGTTTCTTCGAACAGTGGGTCTCATGATGAAAGGCCATTACGCCCCATCTGGGAACTTCCATTTGTCCCTAATGTTTGGGCCTTTGATATTTGAGTCTGGGGTGCCCGGGTGAGTCCAAGAACGTCTATAGATTTTCCAAGTAATCTTTACACTTCTCTAACCAACTGCAATCAATGCCTAGCACCAAGCACGGGGTTTCCATCTCGCCGCGGCCACCACCGGCATTCTTTAGCGACTATGGAGTAGGAGATGTCGACGACCTATGGCGGATGGAAAAGCGACCGTTTTTCTATTGGGATAGGGAAACCGGGAAACCTCACCGAGACGCGAGGGCCGAGGAGTTCCCGTTCAGGCCTAGACCGATTCTCGCTTGTCTGAAGAGAGTTTATAGCGCCGCTTTCTCCGGATTTCCTGAACGGGCCCAGCTACGCGAGGGCGCTGTTGTGCAACGCCTAATGGAGCTAGGCAACAGCTACATGAGTCTCCCTAGAGAAAAGGAGGCCCTGCGGCGACGGTCTGCGCTCAAGGAGCTCGCCGAGGGTTTGCGATCGAGCCTTGAGATATGCCTCGGGGGGGAGGTTGACAAGCATCTCTCTCGCATCGCAAACATCCTCGTAGAGAGAAAAGACAGAGGCGAGTGGAGCATCCTCACCAACAACTGCCAGCTCTTGGTCAACCTGCTCCTAGGCGGCGACGACTTCGAGTACGTCATCCCATTGCCTCCGAAAGACTTGAAGGAAGAGAGCTTCCGGTGGCCACGCTATCTCATCAGCTTCGGGAACCACATCGAGGGCTTCGGCAAGAGCCTCTACCAGCCCAACGGCCTCATAACTCAGTACAACCAAAGCAACCCGGCCGTCGACTACGATTTGATTGAGTATATCAGCAAATGCGTTAACACCCCCTCCGAGTCCCACTCCAAGTCCCTCGCGAGACTCTGCTGGTTTCCCTCTACAAGCCTTTGCTCCCAAGTCTTTCTCGATACGCTCTGGAGCTTGCCTGGCGACAGCCTCTCTCTCCTCCAATTCCACCTACTTCGACCACCGCACAAATACCGCCTAAACGAAGAAGCTTGGATCAAGAACCGGCTGTGCGTAATGCAGGCCCTCGGCGTTATGGCCACCTTTATGGGTGCGATCGGCAACGCCCTCCATCGCCATCTTGTTGCGCGCGATGGCTTCCTGCTCTCGCAGATTACGATCCCACCTGCGCGCGTGCTCGGCAACGTGCGAGCTGACGAGCGGCTTCGCATCCTTGACCAGCTCGGGCCGAGATGGACGTTTTACGACATCGTTAACAGGACCCCCAACGCTATGAGCGCGGTGGTCGAAAGTCCAGCCCGCTTTTGGACGTCGTCCCGAACCGAGGATGACCCTGTGCATGGGGAGGAGGTTGTATCACGGATGTTGGGGTGGTTCCTTGCCCCTATTTCGGCTATTAGTCCAGGGGTAGGAGCCGCGATCGGGGGGAGTCTTCGGTTGCATGAAGATTGCTGGGTTGTAGTAAATATTGGCTCACATACATATGTTCGGCAGTATCTGTGTAAGAAGCTGGAAAATGTTAGGGATAGGCTAGAATAGGAATTGCGGAACCTGCCCTGTTCCAGGGCCCGCCGCTTCAGCGCCGGTACATCCAAACCGGCCTCCGCCGGGCGGGGCGATCATCGGCGATTATGAACAAGTCAAGTGTCCGCAGCCCGAAGGCATTTAAACTATTCAGATGAACGAGCCGCTAGCACCTAGGGAGCTTTATCAGATAGACTGCTTTCGAGCCGCCTCAGCAAGTCCCGTCTCTAGAAGCGGTCTTGTGCGCTGGAAATATAAGCCTCCGCTTCCGATACACTCGTTGTCACTGTGTGTAAGGTCCCTACGATCGCTTGCGCTGCTAGTTCCGAACCCTATTGATAGGTCCTATAGGCTTGTATTTGTAAACGTACATCAGCAGACTGGAGGCGTAATCCATTACTAGGGCAGCGGTGTATGTGAATGGCTGCCGCGCCGTTGATGGAGATAGACCTCGGAGTACCACAAAAGCAACCAAGGTGCGTATGCGGACAAGAAGAAGAGAGATTAGAACACTTTCTCTTGCTATCCAGAACATGGACCGCGCTCAGAATAGAAATGTTCGATACATAGATATGCACAGGGCTAACATTTCCTTCTATCTAGGAGGTAAATCGCCATCGGATGCCAAGGACTGGACTCCTGTAGCCATTGTGAATCGTATCGTCACCCGAACGGCCTCTAGGTTCGGTTGACTTGACGCAAATTTACTGCAGGCCGTCTAGAACACGTACGCGACCACCCACCACTCTCCATCACCGGAACCCCCATCGTCTCGTATTCTAGAGAACAGGCACTGCTTCAGCAGCCAAGGATAGGACGTTAACCAGTTGGATAATCGCCTTAAAGGAGGCAGACGGAGCAGGCAAACCGCCACCGTAGGAATCCGCTTCGATGTTATGGACCATCGTCATCATCGAGCGATCGGAAATTACCGGCTGGCGAAGCGACAAAATCTCCTTCCCTGTCACGCAGCAAAGCTCTACGATCTTGGAGAGGACCACTCTAGGGACCTCCCAGTTCGAGGTCCCGGGATCGTGACGCAGATCGGGCGGCGTGTTTACACCGGACCGGTGGATAAAGTATTCAACCTCTCCGCGGCCTAGGCAGGCCGCGGAGAACCCGCCTAGTGAGGATGTTGCCGGCCAGGAAGAGTGGAAGGTTAAAAGAATCCTAGCAAGTCGAGTCCATCATGGCAAACTCTCACTCTCGCTCTAGGCGCAACGGCGTGGATGGGGCGCTCAAGCGCTCCCACGACCCTGTCATCGATCTCGTGGAACCCAGAGTATCGGATGTCCGTGCTCACGATGCTTCGGCTCTGTCCACCGCCGAGCAATGGAACACGGGCCAATGGAAAGATGAACGTAACCCTCCCTCTGGTCAGATCGCCCAGTACCTAGTTAGTCAGCGCCCGAGCTGAGTACCTATCTGGGAGGCTGAGATGACCCCGTCAAATGGTTCCGAAGTTTTAAGGATTCTCACGATCTGTGGACTTTGCCTTAGGTACCTATGTACTCTAACCCCCCGAAAAGATAACCTAGAAGCAGTGCGTCTCCTTGCCTTTTTGGGCTTTGCCTAGGCCGGCTTTCCTGGCTACAGCCTGTGACAAGCCGCTTTGTTGGTTATCCGCACCACTCGCGACTGAGCTTGCGTACAGTCAGCCGTCTAGCGATGCGGGGACGCCACCAAACCTCAAATTGCTACACCAATGCTGCATACCCGGGTCAAATGCCGGATGGTAGATTAGTTGAGATTCGTACAAGGGTACCAAGGAACATCAACAAACCCCCCCCCCCCCCATGTCGAGCAGCATAAAGACGCTTAGTTGCTTTCCATCGGGGATATTAGCCAAGGCTCTCCTCATTCCTCAAGACACACATTTTGGACATCACGGCTATGCGGTTTCACATTCTTGCCTGTTCTCTCCTGCTCGCCCCCCTGACAAGGGCCCGAGATCCGGACAGAGAGCGACCCAACCATAATCTCACTGTCAAAACCACCAGCGGTACTTACACGGGTTTCATCAACTCTACGGGCCCCGATGTGAACCAATGGCTAGGCATCCCGTACGGGCGGCCCCCCCTGGGGGATCTGCGATTTATGCCTCCCAAGAAAGCGCCCGATTACGGCCACGCCGACGCAAAATCCTATCGGCCCGTTTGCTTCCAGACCGGTAACAGGACGGGCGCTTTCTGGGAGCTTATGCCCGAGTTCCAGAACACGGATTCCCAGAGCGAGGATTGCTTGTATCTCAACATCTGGGGTCCGCGGAAGCCCGTTCAGGCGAAGGTGCCTGTAATTATTTGGGTGTGCGGCGGAGGGTTTAGGGAGGGCGGCGGCCACGCGCCGTATCAGGTCCCAGACCAGTGGATTCAGAGGACGCAGACGCATATTGTTGTCACCTTCAAGTACATGACTGCAAATTATGGCCTGCATGAGACGAATGTGCTGATTTATCTCTTGTTAGTTATCGTCTCGGTATCTTCGGCTTCCCTAACTCGCCGATCGCTAACAAAAACGCTGGGCTGCTGGATATCCGGCTCGTGTACGTGTTCACCTCCTAGGATAGGTGCATATCGTTCTCCAACTGATCCTCTAAACAGTGTGGAATGGCTCAAGGACAACATTGCAGGATTTGGGTGAGTGAACTCGGGGGCTCTAGTCGGGTCCTGTCCCCTAATATGTTAATTGCCTCTTTTACTAATACACTTCTCCCGGCAACCAGCGGCGACCCCGAGCGCATGGTTCTCTATGGTCAGTCTGCTGGTGCCACAGCCGTTCTATCCCAGGCGTACGCGTACCCCGAGACGCCGATCGTCCGCGGTTTCATTGCCTCGTCCGCCGGTATCGGGACCAACAACCCGACAAACACTACGCTCTTTCACGACCTAGCGCAGACTGCTGAATGCGCCAACCTTACGGGGGCGGCCGAACTCGAGTGTATGCAAAGGATTGATGCGCCAGTGCTACAGCGGAAGGTCAATGAAGCTAACACGGATCCCAACCGCGGGGTGTTCCGCCCCATCGCTGATGGCGTTAGTCTCTTTGCGAACCTGACGGAGAGGCTCGAAAAAGGGTTGGTCGCTAAGCTGGTGCGTTCTTGGACCCTCGTACCACGTGCAGCGACGGCTGCACGTATAGCTGCAAAAGGTATTTATTGCAAGGCTAACTCGGAACACCGCCTCCCGGGGCTGCAGCCACTGATTACCGGGTTTACGTATAATGAGGCGGCAGCGTTCCTACCCTTCAACATCAACGCTACGGCACCACCGAACGGAACTGTTTCGCCGGGAGCCGGCGGACTAGCATGCGGCGTCAGGAGCCAGATACTGTGAGTGTGTCCCGACTTTAAGGATATGGGTACCTCGCTTATGTGCTCCGCGCAGTACCCGGGCCGGGTATGGGTTTCCGACGTACGTCTATCTGTTCTCGGGTAACTTTAGCAACATTACGCCTCGGTATTGGCTTGGGGGCATGCATAGCTGTTCGTGCCCTCTTCTTTTTATTTCGGGGATTGCTTCTCATAGGAAAGTAAGGGTATTGACCAATACACAGCCGACATCCCCCTCGTCTTCGGGACGCACAACCAGTTCCGCGGCAACTCGACCGAGTTCGAATGGCAGACGAGCTTTGCAATAGAGGGTACGCACTTGTCCGCAGTACCGATTCTCAGTCCAATTATTGTTCAACATAGACACTGACTGCTTCCCCAAATAGCTGCCTGGGTCTCCCTGGCCGCCAACCCCTTAGCAGATCCCCGCGACCACCTTGGCCAGAAATGGCCCAAGTATACAGAAGCGAGCCACCAGGTTGTCGTGTTTGGCAACGCTACAGGGCCTAGCGAGTCGTATGTGGAGTCTGCCGAGATCTTAGATATGTATAGCGGCCCCTGTTAATAATGAGAGATGTTTGAGATAGTATTGAGTAGCTTCTTAATGCCCCCAGTAGTCTATAGGCTTTATTAGTATTAGGACCTAGGAGGGACCTTAAGGTATATAATGCTCAAGTAATAAGGTATAAGGAATATACGAGCGGTGTTTATATATATAGTGTATAGTTTAATAGTAGGGGTAAGATAATAGTAGTATTAAGCTCTAACTACCTAAAACCTCTATAGCTAAACCCTATCCTTTTACCTCCCTCTAGCTAGCCTATTCCTCCTCTAATCTTACTCTTCGTTATTCTCCTATAATACCTTCTTATAACTACTCTCTCTAAGTATACCCTATATGCTTCTAAAGTACTATCAAGGAACTAATAGAAGCTTAGAAGAGAGAGGTAGGCTACTAATATCTAAGGGCTAAGTATAGAGGTTATATAACCTGATTACCGATTCTAATTATATAGTTGGAAAGTGTCACGGATATGCCAACATGTGGGGCCCAAGGCACGGGACGCCCCGGGCCAGTCAAACCAATCAGGGATGCAGCAGGGTGATCAGTGAGCTCAGTCGCCAAGCAGACTGAGCACAGTGAGCACCGCGATCCCAATCACCAATCAGGATGAACAGGACGTTCTAAGTGATCAGTGTGATCAGTGTTCAGAGGAACTGAGCACACTGAGCACTCAAGAATTAGACAGGTATATAGTCACTCGTCCTGGAGAGCTCTGGGAGTTCTCCAGTTAGCAATCACAACTACAGTTCGCTACAAGCTCGAGAGCCTACTGTTGAGACAAGTCTTTGTTGTGCACCCTTTGGCTGCACCGAACCTACGCACCCTTGAGAGAATACCTTCGACCGATACTGAACCCTAACAGGACGGGTCCAGAGACAGGTTCGTCACACGTTGCTAACTCCCTTTGATCTGTTACAGTTCAGGCTCGAAGGTAAAACGACATGGCAACTCAACCGACGCCGGGCCAGATCACGGCCGCGCTTCAGAGAGTCACCGAACGACTCGACGAAACTGAAGAAGAGCTTGCGAAGACCAAGGCCAGCAACGCGGCATTGGCAGCCCGACTTGCGGCGACCGAGGTCCACACCAAGGACCCGGCCAAGACGAAGGTCAAATTGGAGCAACCCGAGAAGTACGGGGGCGACCAGGAAGCCTTGCCAGGTTGGATCACGGAGATGCGGAACTATCTCGACCACAACTCGCACCAGTTCGCCACTGAGGAATCCAAGACCAGATACGCCGCCACCCGACTCAAGGACAAGGCCCTCAAGTGGTTCACGGGAACACTGAGTGATTTCCTCGGCGGAGCAATCCACAAACCCTTCACCAAAAAGGTCTTCGAGAACTACTCCGAGTTCGAGAGTGAGATTCAGAAGGTGTTCGGCGACAAGGACGAGAAGTTGCACGCCCAGGAACGGCTAGGACGGCTGAAGCAGACTAGGTCAGCCACCGCCTACGCCACGATTTTCCGACAAGACTCCATGAAGGCAGAGATAGACGACGAGGGGCTGATGCACCTGTTCTACGGAGGACTGAAGGAGGAGGTCAAGGACGAGCTCTACAAGGAGAGCCGACCTGACACGCTCGACGAGTACATCGCCATGGCTGTCAAGATTGACGACCGACAGTTCGCCCGCAAACAACAGAAGAAGGGCAGCGAGACTCAGCGATCCGCAGGCTACCACAAACCCAACGACAAAAAGAAACGCCAGCACCAGAGCACGTCGTACGGCACTCACTCGGGACCCATGGACGTCAGCGCTGCCCAGGCACAATGGGCAGGAAAGAGAGATGGTGCCAAGGACAAATCAGGCATCACTTGCTACAATTGCGGCAAGAAGGGTCACTTCAAACGCGACTGCCGCAGCAAGAAAGAGTGGAGACCGGTTCCAGGGAAGGAAGCTGCCACCATCGACCAAAACACGGTCGGAAGAAGAACCCGGTTTCTGGAGGTCGCAGCCGCCAGCTACACGCAGGACGACCTCGAAATCGACATTGACCGAGTCATCGAGCAGGACGATGAACTCACCGACTCGGATCAAGAAGACTTGATGAGCAGCAACCACCAGGAGGGAAATGACACCGCCCATCACGCTTTCATCGAAACGGATGACGAGGGAGAACTGGCTCCCCCGCGGCACATCCGACAAGTCGCTGAGGACTGGGGCATCACCCTGGTTCAGCAAGAGGACGGGCAATGGCGAACCCACGAGGGTGAAGGAGGAGTCAGCCCGAACCTCATTTTTCTGCAACAGAAGGTCCTAAGCCAACGGCAAAGGATCGAGGAGTTGTCAAGAGAGAAAGAAGAACTCGAGCAACTTCTCCAGAGAAGGAACGACCAGTACGGACGACTTTGCGCGGAACTCGATTTCGCCAGGGAACGAGTCCAAGAGATCACCGAGGCCAACAACAGGGCCGGGGATCACGTCGAAAAGACATTAAGAGAGGCACAGGCCTTGCAGGACGACATCCGCCAGGCACTTCCGCACCACACACCGTGGGATGGACCCACCGAAGAGGCGGAAGGATACGAAAACGGAGTACGATACCCCGAGCAACTTTTCGACTACGCACAGGAACAGAATGCGGCGAAAGGAAGAAAACAGCAGAGCTGGGAAGAATACTGGACGCGACATCAGCACATCGTGCGCGCCGGGCGACAAACCTCCGACCTCGAATGGTGGGGTTCCCGGGGCGAGAACAACACGGAGGGATTCCAGTTGTTATCAGAAGACCACGAGCGGGTGGACCCACGAAAAGAGAACCACATCTACCTGCCCTGGTTTCAGTGTATCGCGCACGAATGTCGGTACCATTTCCAGGACAAATTTCGCAACAGTTTCTGGCCCACGAGGGAAGAAAAGGGGATGCAACCCCTACCCATCAGATGGGTATACGACAGCGGCGACGCTCCCGCAAGCATGTTGTGGGACACACAACGCACTCACGAGGGCAGGCTGAGGGTTAAACCCAAGGCAGCCTGGCCCCGACGCTGTCTAACGGGCGTAGGAGTCAACGAATGCCGAAGCGCAGACTGCCTATCACACGCCGACGAGAAAATCTGGGGATATATGGAACAGCAATCCCAGAGGAAGCCACACCAGAGGACAAGAGCGTCCCGAAGGAACGAGAGGCGCCCAACCGAGGCGTGGGTGGCCCAATGGCTCCAAGAACACCAGACGATTGATGCCGCAAGCCAAGGTGCGGACAGGGACGCCTTGAAACACCACGAGAGCTTGGGAAACGGCTCAGGGCCCTCCGAGGGGCCCGGAAATCTCTAACTCCACAACAGCGGAGACAGGCTGCGCAGTACAGGAAGAACTGGCGCAAACAGAAGCCTTACAACGACCTCCCAGCAGACGAACACGAAGTAGCTGCTGTACGAAGCACCAAGCCAGACAACAGGCTCTGGATCACAGCGCGATGGGGGAAGATCGAAGCCCTCGCGTTAGTGGATGGAGGAGCGCAGATGGACCTCATTGCGCCCACATTTGTGAATCAACTCAGAATCCCATGGAGGATCAAGAAGCAACCACACGTCGTCAAGGGACCATTCGACACACAATGGGTACGACGAGAGACAGAACCACTCGACATTGAGGTGGAAGGAAAAACCACCCAAGTGGTGTTCGACATCGTGAACATGGGGCCGAAGAAAGACATGATTCTCGGACGCCCATGGCATGAGGATTACGACCCAGACATCAGTTGGAAGGGAGATGGCCATCTGCGACCGCGGGAACAGCGGGAGCATCCGACCAACTCGATGGGAGAACGCGCAGAACAGGAGCCACGGGAGAGCAGCGGGTCCGAACGAACCCCCTCTACGGGCCCACCGCAGGAAGCAGCCAGTGCAGAACCACGCACTCTGAAATCCGGAAGAAGCGGCACACGACGAAAGAAGCAGGCACGGGAGGAACGAACCATCGCCGTCGTCTCAGTCGACGAGCACGGAATGCTCAAACACGAACAATGGGTCAATCAGCTCGAAGCGGCAAGCATCGAGCTGGCAGCAGAAGAAGTCAGGGAACTCGAAGCAGCGAGCATCGAGCCTGGGAACAACAAGTTCGCGTACTACGAGGGTACAGCGAAGAACGCAAAGACGGGGCAGATCCCAGACGACTACAAGGGGCACCCGGCGTTCACGGCAAAACATCTTGCAGGGCTACCAGACCACGGACCTTGGGATCACGAGATCAAACTCAAGGAAGGAGCCCAGTTGAAGTTTTTCAAGGTGTACCACACCAACGAGAAGCAAGATGCAGAGTTGAGGAGTTATCTCGAAAAGAATCTCGAGATAGGACACATCAGACCATCGACATCTCCAGCAGGCTACCCAGTCCTCTTCGTTCCAAAGAAGGATGGGAAGCTCAGGATGTGTGTGGACTACCGACAGTTGAACAACGAGACGGTGAAGAACCGCTACCCACTGCCACTGATCTCGAGACTCCGAGATCAACTGTCAGGGGCACAATACTTCACGCGCCTCGATCTTCCGACAGCGTACGCCCACATCCGCATCAAGGAAGGAGACGAATGGAAGACGGCTTTTCGGACACCCTACGGGCACTACGAGTACCTCGTCATGCCGTTTGGGTTGACCAACGCACCAGCGACATTTCAAGCCGCTATCGACCACGCAATACGACATTGCCTCGATAAATTTGCAGTCTGTTACTTGGATGACATTCTCATCTACTCCAAGACACTCGAAGAACACAAGAAGCATGTGCAGCAGGTGCTGGATGCACTGCATGAGCACAAGTTGTCAGTCAACAAGGACAAGAGCGAGTTTCATGTCAAAAAGACAGTGTTTCTGGGTTACGAAATCTCCCCAGGATGGGTCAAGATCGAACCCGAGAAACTGGAAGCTGTCAGGACGTGGCCGACACCAACAAACGCCACAGAGGTCAGAGGATTCATCGGATTCGCCAACTTTGTCCGGATGTTCATCAAGAACTTCGGCGACATCGCGAGACCTCTACACGAACTCACGAAGAAGGATGCCACATTCCAGTGGAAGCAGGAGCACGAGCAGGCTTTCCAGCGGATCCGCGATGCGATCATCGCCGACCCGGTGCTCATGCTGCCCGATCCAAGCACGCCTTTCGAAGTCGAGGCTGATGCTTCGGACTTCGCGATCGGAGGACAACTTGGTCAGAGGGACAA